CTTTGACTCCTAGCTAGCGATAAGGGTTTCCTGGAAAATATCCTCGTGTTATAGGAGATATATAATGTGACAATCCCGTTATAATATATTTAAAGCTGTCAATATTCATGTCAAGATTTCCAAGATGGGATACTGTTCCTACAGCGACTAATTTTTTTTTCTGAATTTTGGGATGGGGTTAGGTTCTTCATCCTTATAGTGTTTTTCAGCCCTTATGCGATATTTGAACTTCAAGGAGAATGATATGGAAAGGCGATATTTGAACTTCAAGGAGAATGATATGGAAAGTAATCTGAATTCATCGGTATGTCATCGTCTAAGCAATCGATTCGCACCAAAATCGACACCTCCGTTTGGATTTTGCGAAATGGAAGTGAGCTGTTTTGAATTGAATTTTTCAGTTATTTCCGGATATTTTTTTTACTCTTTGCGAGCTACTGGTTATGAAAATTCGAGGGAACTCAGTCATATTTTGTACTCGTGGGTAACTTACTTCGTGATGGAAGAGATGGCTTTCTACGAATGCGTTCATGTCGTGGTCTTTTGTTTTGTTATGTTTGGTCAATTTGATTGACAGTTTCCTTTATTACATGATGAGGGGAGGGAGTATCGATTGATCAGTCTAAGAGACGCGCATGCAATTATGACCGATCAATAATTACTTTGGCTCTGCACAGTCGTAGTGTATTTGGTCATGTCACTACTATGTTCTTTTTCTGCAAAGAGAATTGAACATTCTTAAGACTGATGTGGGAAAGTGGAATGTGGGGACGCATCTCTCGGACGTTATTGGTTACGCCTGAATACTTTTTCCTTTTTTGAACCCCATATTTTTATACTATTGAAAAATTTCTCGTCAGTAATCGGTTCCTATTGCAGAATGGGTCTGGTTCACATAACTTCCTTGTTTTGGGCAACGGTTACGCCATTAACCTGGGACCGCTCGTCTATGATGCTTTCAAGGATCATGCAAAAGCATTTAATATATTTTCATTGAGAGGTGAATACTTGCTCCTTACCGTAGTCATGTTTTCTGTTTAAGACCTTCTAGTAATGATTAATTCTAATTTACATACTCAAGGTTGTTCTACATGATTTATAGAGGTGGCCTGGTTTCGAACAAGAGAGCGGAAATTTGAAGAAATGAAAAGAAAACACAATAAAGGGGTATAAAAAAAGCAGTTTAATTTATGTTTGAGTGCAAGAGGTGCTGTTACTGAATCGTCCCCCCCCCCCCCCCCCCCCCCCCNTGAGGTGCGGGCTCGGAATGGCACGCAGCGCATTGTAATTTAAACAAGTTTCTAACTTTTGTCTTTTGAGGCAAAGCTTTGGCCTCAAAGGACGCGACATACAGTTTCCTTGCGTCGAACAGCGATTGAGAAAAGTTGCAGCCATGGTTCGGAAGCCCAGTTTAGCTAGAGATGCGGGCTGGTGCGCGTGAATAATTAGCCTCAAAAAGTGGTGCTGCAGGGTGAAACCTGGTGTAAGTCTGAGCGCACCGTACTCACTTTTCTAACCATGAGCAGGTTGCATGACGCGGAATATGAAATGTTCCACAGCGAGGTAATATTCAGGGTTTCCTGCTCTTATTTATTGCTTTGTCAACGGTGTTCATTTAACACCCATGCTATTATTTTTTTACATGTCTTAATCATACTTCAAATCATCGCTACTTCTGTTTGGACCTTAAGTCTGATTCCGTTGATATTTTTCATTTCGTTGGGCGCTTCCAAACTTTGACTTCAACGACATGCATTTTTTCGACCGACGTCCGACTGACCGACAGCGTTGCTAGACACGTGCTGACAACGCAAGACAGATTGCGTTCAGGGCCGCGTAGTATTGATCGATGTCCAGCGCTGTCAACACGTAGCCAGGAACGTTGTCGGTTGGTCGGGCGTCGGTAGAAACAACGCACTTCTTTGAAATCTGAAAGCGCCCGTTAATGCTATGTAGTATCAATTATACTTTCAATTTTCAGGTTGCGATACGATGATGCAACATCAGAGGCCGCTCTGTAAAGAAAACGTTAACTATACGGATTTGCTGAATACATTAAAACCGGATGTGATATTCGTACTCGAAAAGTGAGTGAAAAGTTTTTTATGGATGTCCTGAACCCGAGTGGTCTTATGAATTGATCGGCCTTTTCCATGGGAAAATAGTTGAAATAGTGGAAAAAAAAGGAAAAATAGTGGAAATTAGTGGCCGGCATATTGATAGTCCACGATTGACCGGTGACTGGTCGCGCGATTGGTCGTGGACTATGAAAGCAGCCGCTAGGCGCAACCCTGTAGACATGGACCTCTGAGTTCACTTCAGCCATGTACTTGCAAAGAAGGAAAGAAACGAAACGTCGTCCATGGAACATGATGAGATCTTTCGCGAACAATTGGAGAAATTGGAAGGACTAGAGCAAGTCGCTAAGAAGGTTTTTCAATTTTTCAATTCTTAGTTTTCTTTTGTTACATTCGCTGATCAGTTTGGATTCCCTCTTTGAGCTGAATCGTATTACTAAGCCTTTAAGGTCTACATCCTACAAGCGCTACCGTCGCTGAATCACGAAAAATACTTTCTCACATATACAGTAACGCCTATACGAAAAATTAAGGTAGGCTCACACTTCATTAGTGAGATAGCTTTGTTTATCGTATTTACTCGCTTGAAATTATTTTTTTTCCTTTATTTACAAAGGTGACTATGGGGGGTTTGCCTGCCTACAGTGTTCTTATGCTGTCTGACAATGGAAGATCGGCCATGAAAGAAGGGAAGAACAATTACTTCTGTGAGGTGCTGGGTGGGACTGCGCCGATTGCGCATTTTTGTCCTGCAAAGTCTCGGAAAAGTGTGCGGTGAACAGAACGTCAGTCAGCGGTATAAATACCGAGTGTTTAGCTCTCAACCACCAATCGGTCTATTTTTCAGGATCGGTTAATCAAGAACGACGATACTTTCGCGAGGCAACGCATTGAAGAACTAGGTAGAAGGTGAGAACCTTTTTTTCTGATTCTCTCTTTCTTTCTTTTATCTGCTGCTTCCGATTACCTTACAGCATTACTTACCTACTCAATGCCATCAGGTTGAGAACTTTTGATATCGCAAGAGCCCAAATTCTGTTTCGTTTGTAGATTCTACTGTAATACTATCTACAAGGGGTAGTATGTCGTCGTGTTGCAGAGTAAGAGCGGGAGTAATTTGTTTCGGTGGAAATTCAATGAAATCCTGAGGTGATTAATTTTAGGTGTCTGAAATGTGAAATAATCGACATCAAGCCAGCACTCGTCGACAATAAGAGCCGATACCGGGGTTACAACTCCAAGAATAATCTCTTGTACATCGATCAATGGAATCATTTTACTCGTTTCGGAAGGGATCAAATCAGGCAGGTGTTCACGGAGCTTGCGAATAGGTTTTTTATTATTTGATGTAATCCGTTCATCAAAGTCCATTGTAATGATTATGATATTAATAAGTTTCGTCATAAACAATTAGCATCACTTAGGATTCACCCCTTACACTTCTAACTTTTGGCGTACCCAGCTGGCATCTAGATCTTGATGAATCGGTAGTTCTATGGTTAGGTGGCTATGTTCGTCTAATACTAGGAATAGGTTAACTCCTTCGAAAATAACAGCGCCGTAGAAACAAGTAAATGGAAACGATATGCTCAAAGGTACAGTTCATGATAATAATGGTTTCCAAGATTTTTTAGGGTGAATCTGTGTATCCCTAGAATAGCCTAAGGGACGCTGTTGGCTCCAAAAATAGTCAAGGTGGGGCGTAATAAGGATCACTAATCGGGCTCAGCCGACGCGGACACCCAAGGCGGACGACTTCTCCGGCTGTAAAAGACTGTAAAAGCTGTAGCGCCATTCGCCCCGGGACCCACACCTTGCATGTAGACAAATTACTGCAGCCAGCTGTATGCAATGGCGCATACATTTGAATAGCTCATCTAATTACCCCTTCTATGCTGTTTTTTCGTAACATTCTCGTGCACCCCTAACTTCACTTCTTTTTCGAAGCTATACATAACTTCAAAAACATCGATTTCGTGTTTTTCTGCCGCTTTTGCACGGCGTTTTATCGGGGTGTAGGTTTAGGCGACAGTCACCAATTCGAACTATTTTTTCCATTACTCATTTGAAACCAAATGCCTCAAAACTATCGTTAACTAACAGTAAGACTTTAAGATGTATATGGAACTTGGTAGTTGAGCCAAAACCGTTCTATTTGTCGGCGATATATCAGGTCAAATTAGCTCTGGACATGGATTCGCTTTCCATTGGCAGGGATGATTCATTTGTAGAAGTGTCAACGGCGGAGCGATTTTCCAGCTTCTCTGCTTGTTCTTCTATCTTCCCCACGGGTCCATACTTTTTTGGACTTCCTTTTCCTTTGTTCGAGATTTTATAAACTAGCATAGTTCTGTTCCTTTAGTCGAAATCACTGGCTAAATAACCTACCGTTAGTGTAGGTTCGTCAGCCGCTTCAGAGATGCATCAGATTAAGTTGGTCGCTCCGATATCGTTTGAATGAAGTGAGGATTAGGCCTTCGTCGCAGAATCTACTGCAGCAGAACATCGTTGGTAGCAGTCTGAGAACCATCTCCGAAGTCACCGTTCAATGTTTCGGATCTTTCACCGATAACGTCAAAAATAAATATTAACAGGAAAAATTTCTGAATCATTTGCTGAAATGATACCATATTGTGGTCTTTCGACAACTTTTGTTGGGATCAACTTTGAAAATAAAGTTGTTTACCTTCTTACATGAAATTTGAACATGGCATACAACTTGACTAACAAATAGCTTCTCTCGCGAGGCCTTTCTTCTATTCCATTCTTCATTCTATTTCTTCCAATCCTGTCCCGAGATTCCTCTGAATCTAGTCCACCGACCCATTGATTTTGTATAATCACTCAAGAAAATTCGGTGTAGTGTTATACTTTGTTACCGAGAAGGTCAGTGATCACAACCGCTGTGTTCACCGCCGCTGTGTTTGAGGTATCCCAGCGTTCACGGTGATTTACCCTTGAGTGGTCTTGACACGATCATCCTTTAGGTTTTCTACATCGTCATGAACCAGGCGGTTTGTCTGTTACACAGAACTCCACCATGTTGGCTATCTGCCTTGACGACTTTTTTTTATTCGGAGGTATAGAAATATTGCCTCGCCGAAGGGAAAAGTCTCATGGATGGCTACTCAGATGCTAGAGCTTCAATGAAAAGCAGTGCGGAAACCATTTGAGGTCACCGCGCTTCCGCGATGGTGCCTCCTGGTCTATTTCAAAAGAAAGTCTCGCATAAGTTCGAATAGATGAGATAATGGGTATCGAATCAAAATATCAGATTGGATAGGCGGCACCTGGAGTGCATTTTGATCATAACTGTCATCGTTCTGGCAACCTAATTCCATAGTGTCTAGTGCAGACTAGATTCAATCGTTGGATTCAATAAACGATACTCCCAATCGGCCCTCCGTGCCCCATGGACGGGCACAGCATTTTTTGGGTCTGCTAGCCTGGCGGTGCTCGTTACATGGTAGTGAAACTACGACACCTCGTAGTCTATTCAGAAGGAGTCTTTTCGTTTGTACTATGAGATGACAGAATTTCGTGGTGCATTGCAAAAGTGTAAAGGAGTTTGAAATACGTCTTCGATCGCAAGTATGAGGAAACATGAGGGAAACAACTTGGCCAAATGCTGATTAACTCGAATCCGAGGCTTGTTGAGCTTCGAGACGATTGAAATCCATCCATACCAGGGTCTTATACCGTTTACATCACGACGGCTATCGGCATTCGAACCTTTCATGGGGTTTTCAAATGTTTTCGGATTTTTTCAAGTCGCAGCTGAAGATCATCTAGTGGGAATTCTTCATCCTTTGCTATGATCTGTACTCAAAGAATCTGAACTAAACTTAAACTGGCTTGGAAAGTGGATTTTGTATTTTTATCACAAATCATCATCAATAATTAATACTGATAACAACATCGAAGTCACAACAGTACATCAAGTTTCAATGCACGAACACAGCGTATCGTTAAAAGGTTTTTGGCAGCCCATAAATACCGTATACCTTCAGTTCGTGGGTGAAAATCAAAAAGTGGACGTCAAGAGATTTCATTTCGATTACACGAACTATCGCTAGACGACTTCGATGTTTGCTACGAAAAAAAGTAAAGAACTTTGGATGGGACAGGAATCCGCACATGCATTACGGATTCGATGAAATCGAGCGATTCAATTCAATTTTCCAGTACTTTACGGTCCAATACTACATAAAGAAGGGACACCTAGTCGATACCATTATTCCCTCTCCTATTTGCGTTCTTGGATAGCTTCTGTGACATGTGAAAGCTTTTTGGCAACTTCCTTGTTTCCTATAACCTTCACTATGTAATTGTATGGGAGCAGGTGGTGGAAGCATTCATAGTACCTGCGTTTTTACGCATATATCTACGTAAAAAATGCTCTAATCTGCGTCAGCACCGTTTGCGAGAAATCGCTACGGGACCGCTTACCCTGGCGGTCGAAAGAAATGGTCCTGTAACAATTCTTCAAAAGGTACTGACGCAGACTAGTGCGTTTGTACATAAGACAAATTATAGAAGCTTCATATTGTCGAAACTTTTGTAAAGTTATATAATCGAAATT